ATATACTGTAGTTGTTCTAAAGAGTTCTTGGTATAAAATGCATCACTCAAAAAAGATGCAACATGTGTAACATTACACTTAATATTTTTAAAATAAACATTAGGCTCTTCTTGGTCCGGTTACCATGGCAAAGTAAGATAAGGGATTAACCCATTATCCCAAATAGGGGTTAGAATTTGGAATATCCCATTTAAATAGGTATAACTTCATAGTGACAAAATCCACATGTCACGTTATTATACACCTCCTTGATTACCACTTTCTAAAGGAACTCTTTGAACTGTCGGACAACACCCTACCACTCGTCATGCCGGGGAAGATGCGATTGCCCAAGAGATACAGTGTGTTCAGTGGTGACCGGTTCATGCACATGTCCAGAACGATGTAAAACTGGGCAATCATCAGGTATGTACAGTAACAATTAAAGTCATAGGCCTACTTTGTTGAAAATGGATGAATAAGCTTAGGTAAGAACGTAGCACCTCTCCAGATGCCTGGAAATGACCTTTTAATTTATAAATACTATTTTTTAAATTTCTTAATGTGTCAGTAAAAAATTGGTTTAAAACATCAAAAAAAATTTCGCAATGTTAGATCATGATATAGACTTAATATTATGCCATCCTAGTTTATCTTCATTTCACGCAGCCATGTTTTTTAAAAAATAACATTGATATACTTTACATGTATTTATAATCAATACCAGTGAATTCCGGAGTAATATTTTATAGGCCTACATTTCTTATTTACTCGAAAGAAAAAAAAAGTAAACAAAAAGTAATTCAAAAAGGCTATTACTGTTATTATTATTATTATTATTATTATTATTATCATTATTAAATAAAAATTATTATTATTATTATTATTATTATTTTATTATTTTATTTGTAACATTTTCCAGATAGAGAAAGTGAGGCCATATTTACTAAACGTTGAATAAATATGGCCTCACTTTCTCTATTTGGAGTCACTTTTGTTTTATTATATTTATAATAGATATTAATTGTGCTTTTAGCTGATTATTGTCCAGAATGCCACACTCTAGGAAAAATTTGCTTCGATTCTGGAAAATGGAATGGAGACATATGCAACCGATGCAATGATGCCCAAAACCTGACGTGTATTCCGACGTGTGAGGAGGGTTGGCAGGGATTTTTTTGTCGTGTTTGTCAAAAGGGACGATATGGACCAAATTGCCGAAAAATATGTACCTGTGGTGAAGGAGCGGTGTGTGAGCAAACAACAGGACAGTGTTTATGTGGGAAAAGGTATACCAGACTGAAGTTAATATATATTTATAATATTATTATGATGGGATGCCATGGTAATTTAAACAAAAATAACATATTTTTAGAGTACTTTTATAATTTACAATCAACAATTCGACAAAACTATATTACGTTCTAGTACATGTAATCGGTGAAATGGTTAGCACTTTGGACTTTCAATTCAGTGATTCGAGTTCAAGTCTTGGGAGAACCTATATTTTGTAAAATTTATCTAAAAATATATTATATTTAGTGTTCCTTAATAATCATAACAATTAAACAGAACTATATTCACCATCTAAGACATATTATGGTTCTATGGCCTTCTAGACTTTGAATCCAGCGATCCGAGTTTAAGTCTCGGTAGAACCTGTATTTTGTCAACTTCAACTAAAACAAATATTATATTTGATACTTTTCTTTTTATAATTATAACAACTCAAAAGAACTATATATTCACGCTGTAGTACATGTAGTCGGTTCTATGGTGTAATGGTTAGCACTCTGGACTTTGAATCCAGCGATCCAGTTCAGGTCTCGGTAGAACCTGTATTTTGTCAATTTCAACTAAAAAAAATATTATATTTCCGACTAAAACAAATATTATATTTCCGACTTTTCTTTTTATAATTATAACAACTAGAAAGAACTATATTCACGCTCTAATACATTTGGTTGATTCTAGGGTGTAATGGTTAGCACTCTAAGCTTCTAATCCAGCGATCCGAGTTCGAGTCTCGGTAAAACCTATATTTTGTCAATTTTACAAAAATACTAAGTAAATAGTAAGCGTTCTTATATAATTATAACAATTCGACCGAACTATATATAGTGACGCTGTTATGTAGTCGGTTCTATGGTGTAATAATTAGCCCTTTCGACTCTCAATCCAGCGATCCGAGTTCAAGTCTCGAAAGAACCAATATTTTGTCAACTTAATTTAAGCACATCATATTTTCAGTGTTCTTTTGTAATTGAAACAATGTGACAGAACTGTATATATTCACAGTGTAGTTCATGTAGTCGGGTCTATGGTGTAATGGTTAGCACTTTGGACTTTCGGAATCCAGCGATCCGAGTTCAAGTCTCGGTAGAACATGTATTTTGTAAAATTAATCTAAACACAATAACATATTTTTACGGTTCTTTTATAATTATAAAAAATCGAGTTATATTCACATTCTAGTAATTGTAGTCTGTTCAATGGTGTAATGGTTAGCACTTTTGATTTTGAATCCAGCGAACCGTATTGAAGTCTCGGTAAACCAATATGTTGTCTACTCTATCTAAAGAAATAATATGTTTTTTAAATTGTTCTTTCAAAATTATAACAATTCAGCAGAACTATTCACGCTTCAGCAAATGTAGTCTGTTCAATGGTGTAATGGTTAGCACTTTTGATTTTGAATCCAGCGAACCGTATTGAAGTCTCGGTAAAACCAATATTTTGTCTACTCTATCTAATAAATAATATATTTTTAAACTGTTCTTTCAAAATTATAACAATTCAGCACAACTATTCACGCTTCAGAAAATGTAGTTGGTTGTATGGTGTAATGGTTAGCACTTTGGATTTTGAATCCAGCGATCCGAGTTCAAATCTCGATAGAACCTGTATTTTGTCAACTACAACTAAAGTAAATATTATATTTTGATATTTTTCTTTTTATAATTATAACAACTCAAAAGAACTATATATTCACGCTGTAGTACATGTAGTCGGTTCTATGGTGTAATGGTTAGCACTCTGGACTCTGAATCCAGCGATCCGAGTTCAAGTCTCGGTAGAACCAGTATTTCGTCAAATTCATCTAAAAAAATGTTATATTTCTAATTGTTCTTTTATAATTATAACAATTCAAAAGAACTATATTCACTCTCTAGTACATTAGGTTGATTCCAGTGTATAATGGTTAGCACTCTAGGCTTCTAATCCAGCGATCCGAGTTCGAGTCTCGGTAAAACCTAGTATATTATTTTGTCAACTTTTACATAAATACTATATTGTAAGTGTTCTTATATAATTATAACAATTCGACCGAACTATATATAGTGACGCTGTTATGTAGTCGGTTCTATGGTGTAATAATTAGCACTTTTGACTCTCAATCCAGCGATCCGAGTTCAAGTCTCGAAAGAACCTGTATTTTGTCACCTTAATTTATGCACAACATTATATTTTCAGTGTTCTTTTGTAATTGAAACAATGTGACAAAACTGTATATATTCACACTGTAGTTCGTGTAGTCGGTTCTATGGTGTAATGGTTAGCACTTTGGACTTTGAATCCAGCGATCCGAGTTCAAGTCTCGGTAGAACCTGTGTTTTGTAAAATTAATTTAAACACAATATCATATTTTTAGGTTCTTTTATAATTATAAAAAATCGAGTTATATTCACGTTCTAGTAATTGTAGTCTGTTCAATGGTGTAATGGTTAGCACTTTTGATTTTGAATCCAGCGAACCGTATTGAAGTCTCGGTAAAACCAATATGTTGTCTACTCTATCTAAAAAATAATATACATTTTAAATTGTTCTAATTATAACAATTCAGCACAACTATTCACGCTTCAGAAGATGTAGTTTGTTCTATGGTGTAATGGTTAGCATTTTTGACTTTGAATCCAGCGCTCTGAGTTCAAGTCCCGGTAGAACTTGTATTTTGTCTGTAGTCTGTTCAATGGTGTAATGGTTAGCACTTTTGATTTTGAATCCAGCGAACCGTATTGAAGTCTCGGTAAAACCAATATGTTGTCTACTCTATCTAAAAAATAATATACTTTTTAAATTGTTCTAATTATAACAATTCAGCACAACTATTCACGCTTCAGAAGATGTAGTTTGTTCTATGGTGTAATGGTTAGCACTTTTGACTTTGAATCCAGCGCTCTGAGTTCAAGTCCCGGTAGAACTTGTATTTTGTCAACTTCAACTAAAATACATATTATATTTGATACTTTTCTTTTTATAATTATAACAACTCAAAAGAACTATATATTCATGCTGTAGTGCATGTAGTCGGTTCTATGGTGTAATGGTTAGCACTCTGGACTCTGAATCCAGCGATCCGAGTTCAAGTCTTGGTAGAACCTGTATTTTGTCAAATTCATCTAAAAAAATGTTATATTTCTAATTGTTCTTTTATAATTATAACAATTCAAACGAACTATATTCACTCTCTAGTACATTAGGTTGACTCCAGGGTATAATGGTTAGCACTGTAGGCTTCTAATCCATCGATCCGAGTTCGAGTCTCGGTAAAACCTAGTATATTATTTTGTCAACTTTTACATAAATACTATATTGTAAGTGTTCTTATATAATTATAACAATTCGACCGAACTATATATAGTGACGCTGTTATGTAGTCGGTTCTATGGTGTAATAATTAGCACTTTTGACTCTCAATCCAGCGATCCGAGTTCAAGTCTCGAAAGAACCTGTATTTTGTCAACTTAATTTATGCACAACATCATATTTTCAGTGTTCTTTTGTAATTGAATTAATGCGACAAAACTGTATATATTCACACTGTAATTCGTGTAGTCGGTTCTATGGTGTAATGGTTAGCACTTTGGACTTTGAATCCAGCGATCCGAGTTCAAGTCTCGGTAGAACCTGTATTTTGTACCTTTGATTTGTAAAATTTATTTAAACACAATAACATATTTTTTACGGTTCTTTTATAATTATAAAAAATCGAGTTATATTCACGTTCTAGTAATTGTCTGTTCAATGGTGTAATGGTTAGCACTTTTGATTTTGAATCCAGCGAGCCGTATTGAAGTCTCGGTAAAACCAATATTTTGTCTACTCTATATCTAAAAATAATATATTTTTTTAAATTGTCCTTTCAAAATTATAACAATTCAGCAGAACTATTCACGCTTCAGCAAATGCAGTCTGTTCAATGGTGTAATGGTTAGAACTTTTGATTTGGAATCCAGCGATTCGAGTTCAAGTCTCGGTAGAACCTGTATTTTGTCAACTTCATCTGAAACAAATATTATATTTGATACTTTTCTTTTTATAATTATAACAACTCAAAAAGAACTATATATTCACGCTGTAGTACATGTAGTCGGTTCTATGTTGTACGGTTACTAGCACTCTGAATTCTGAAACCAGTGATCGGAGTACAAGTCTCAGTGGAATCTGTATTTTGTCAACTTTAATTTTTTTAAAAACATTATATTTGTATGTGGTTTTAATTTTTTGTTATAATCATAACATTTCGACAGATCTATATTCACCCTCTACTACAGGGGTGGGCATAAAAACAGGTCGGTGGGTTAATGTGAACTTTGGCCACACCCAAAACTTTGATGTTTCCAGTGCACTTCCAAAAACTTGCATGCATTGTTTTATCCCACTTTACGTGCAGTTTTAATATTTATTTTTCTTTCAGATGATCAGTGTCTACCCGTAAAATTCAAGGTGTTTTTTTTTTTATAGCCAAAGATGGTTGGCGGGCCGCATTATTTTCCCCCATACATTCAAGGCAAAAAATCCCCCATGAGAAACAGTTTAGTTCAGTGGTTATGCGTGGATAAATGCTACGGCGTAGGCCAAAATAATTATCTTAAATAGGCCTTGGTATCCAAAACAGTGTGAACATTAATGGATTATAATTTTAATAATCTCCCTGTGACTAGACACATTTTATGTACAGCGTGGTCTTTGAAAGTAAAAAAAAAAACACAGTAATATTGAATATGAATAGACCTAGCTATGATATGTGTTGTTTGTAGCAATTGTATGTCCCTAAGTACTGATTTTGAAGGATACACAACGTTTAGAAATTTACGTGGACTTCGGGCACATTATTTTACAATTAAAAATTGTTATGAGAAAAAAAAAATCACTGTCACTTAACAGACACTTTCAAAGACTATGCTGCACAGTATCTAGACATAGGGATATTATTATTATTACAATAGTCTATTAATTTTCACTGTGTCAACTACACTTGGCCGACTACTATATTTGTCAACGGTATCTAAGCAAAATATTATATTTATAAGTGTTATTTTATAATTATAACAATTTGACAAAAAAGTTTATTCACTCAGTAGCACATATAGTCGGTTCAATTGTAAAATTATTTATTTGTTAGCACTCTGGACTGTAAATCCAGCTATCCGAGTTCAGGTCTTGGGTAGAACCTTTAAGTTATTTAGCTTTTTTTACAACAGTAATATTATTTTTAGTATTCTATAAATTCTGTTATGATAACAAGATGATCGATATAACTATTCGGTTCAGTAGAACCTATATTATAAAAACAGCATATGCAATCCTTGCCTAAATAGGATATAAAATAAATATGATAAGTATATAAATAATAACTGGACTTCTACTCACAGATGCTACCAAAGATGCCGAAGTGGATTTTACGGTCCAAAGTGTCACCAAAGATGTGACTGTCCTTCAGGGGTGTTGTGTACAGATGACACTGGGGTATGCACTTGCCCAGATGGCAAATACGGCATTATGTGCTCAATCAACTGTAGTTGCCCTAGTGGAGGCAAGTGTGATGTAATTACAGGCACTTGTCTGAATTGCCATGATTGTGGAAATGAAGGTAGGCTATGCATGCTTTACCGTCAGGACTAATTAAGGTATAGATATGTGTGGTTCAGGGAAATCTAAATTGAGCTCAAATAATATAGGCCTATCCATTGCCAAACGGTTTATAGTGTACCATGTTGGACATTTCCGTCCCCTTTAATTTTTTCAAAATTATAAAAATCATAAGACAAATAAAATTATATTGAAATGTAAGTCTGAGAGTGCCATTTCCGGCCATATGGACCGTAATCATAACTTTGCTTTCATCACCCTATTTCTGTAACTGGGGTCCACCCTATTTTGAAATCCTGGATCCGTCACCGCTCATTTATTATTATATGGCACAGCGATAAAGTTTATGGACCTCCAATCCAAAGTCGACCTTAGGCTTCCCAACCCAGCTGTAGGCCTATGTGTGCTTGGGCATGACAATTTACCTCTCCAACCACAGGTGAAGAGAGTAAGCAGGCCAGTACGCAGTACGCAATATTTTTATTGGGTGGGTGGGAATTTGTACAGAGTGGACCAAAATGGTACCGGGGTAGGGGGGCGCCTAGGGGAAAAACCCTGTTGGGATGGAGGTGGCGGAGCTCGGGCATTTTTGATAATTTGTGGTATTACTTGTACATGTTTTTAGTGTCCTAGTGTTTTTTGCATGTACGGTTTTTAGTGGCAGATCTCGAAATTTGAAGAAGGCTAAGGAAGGAATTCCACAATGATTAAACACATTATGTGATGTGAATGCGGCTTTGGTTTATTCTATAATCATATCAATTAACTAATACACGACACTGTACTACGCGTTTTGGTCACGTGGTATTTGAATCACGTATATGCGTATCCGACTAGTTTGCGAATCACAGATTGCCGAGTTCATTTTGCCGAAACCCAATTTGTTGAATGCGATTTTAACGACCCCAAAATTTGAAAAACAGTTTGCTGAAACTCAGTTTGCCGAATTTCGAACAACTATACTAACAGTGTGTCGAATGCCATATACACAGTCGTATAAAGTACGAAAAGACGTGCAGCCTATTTTATTTTCAGTGACGTATTTAAGATCTTTGACATGGGGCTGATGAGGGCAGCTAAATCAGTGAGTGGGATAGGGGACTCGAGGAAGAATCAGCTGACGAAAGAAGGTGAAATGAGGTTATTTTTAATTACTTTAATGGGAAAAACTGCTCTCTTATATACACTAAATATGAAGCATGTAAAATAGAACAAAAAATCACAGGTATGAGACCGGAATCAGAGATCAGAAAGTATTAAAAAAAAGGACGTGCTAAGGAAGGCATAACATAAAAACCGGGATACTGGGATAACTGGGATAAAACAATCCTTGGACTTGGTAGACAAGAGAAATGGATATATACCTAGGTGAACTTGACTAACACATTAATGAATGAGATGAGAGTAAGTGTGCCATTGTGATTTTTAATGCTGTTGTTAATATGGATGTTGCTCTTTAAATTCACTTTCGGGAAAACAGGGATTCGGAAAACTGGATTTCACAATTTTTGAATTGTCAATTTGATATTCGGAAAACTAGGTTTCGGCAAATTGGACTCGGAAATCTGGGATTTGGCAAACTGAGTATCGGCAATCTGGACTAGATCTTGTAGGCCTAGCACACGTACATTTTTCATAAACGATTACAAGTCATGCCTTATAGCACAAGGACAGGTACTAATTACGACGAACAATAGTCGGCCGACGGTAGACTGCCGTAAGTCCACCGCCCTCTCGGTGAGCGCCTGCGCGACGCCACTTGCTGATTGTCAGTGTAGTAGTCTGAGCGGATTATTGTGCGCACGTCGTCGCCTTACATTCTCCTTGAAATTACGACGGCCGAAAATCGTTTGCGCAGTGGTCCAACTGATTGATCTATTATTCCTTCAATTTACATCAACTCAAATCAAATCAATCAACCGATCAATCAATCAATCAATCAATCAATCGATCGCTCAACCAGCCAACAATATCGTAATTATGTGAAGATTTGCCATAGGTCCACTTCGTGTGTTATTTTCGAACCAGGTGCTACTTAATATGCATGTGGTATACACTTAAGAAAACAGAACCAGTAAAAATTTCCCATTTCTTATTTTTTGTCAAGTTCAGTTTCAAAATTTTTTTCTTATTTTACACGCTTCCAAAGAAATTATTATTTTACAGTAGTATATTACTTTACTGCAGTATTATAGTGGGTATCACGTAGTCACACCTACTGTTCATAAGGTACAGGTAAGTCCAAAGACATTACTGGGTTTTTATTGGTTTTTCTAGTTTTTAAAAAAAATAAAAACATTTTTTACCTCAGCCTCAATTTGTACTTATTTTGTTCTCATTTTTAAAGCAATTTCAGGTTCGGTGTTCTTATTAAAAAAAAAATGTGTATTTTCCTTACTTAGTCTGATGCCTAAGGTTTACACCGGGCAACTAAGCCTACTTCTATTATCACTAATTCAAATGGTAAAATTCTAACCCATAAATCCAAGTGATATTGTGTTGTACTAAAATTTCAACCGATTTTTTTGAATATTTATAATGTAGAGTATATTTCAAATTAATTATCATTTCTTTGCTTGATGATTACTATGGAAATATAAACTTTTACCATCAGAAAATTCCTTATAATATTATTATAGAGATGCACGAAGTATCTTCATGCAAGGCTTAATGGTGGTACTCATTTTTCTTTTATGGGGTCACGTCCATGCTAAGGTTTGTAATATTGTACCACCAAGAAAAGATCAAAGCCGACGGTTTTTTATATTGATTTGTCCACATTTTGTGATTAAAATTAATTAGAACATTAACCATCTTGTCCTTTGTGGATAAGTGGTACATCTAATAAAATTAGATCAACGTGAAAAAATTCTTTCTCTAAATTTCAGTTGATTCAATCGGTCGCATCAATCCTTTCCCATTCACTGTAACATAAACCACATCACATGCCGATAAATACTGAAATTAGAGATATTTCCGAGCTTTAATCATTTCATTCAAATTTCAAGAACACACGTATCGTGTCATGGGTAAAATGGGGATCAAAATTACGAATTTACGATCGAGGTCATTGTAGGTCATTCACCTTATATAGAAACTGGAATAAAAGTGTGTTCAACTGTCTGAGGTTTTCTTATTCACATTTCACCTTGGGTATAAGTAATATATAAAGCCATAAATGCAGAAAATCCCAACGCTCATGCTTATGCTAGAAAAATTAGTAATATAATATCATCTACGTTTAAATGATGCTATGCATAAGGCCATCACACTGGCAATATCGGGTAGACTTTCCTCTCAGGTGGAAATATGGGGTCCAGGTTTGTCACTTGTAAGGCTCTCAAATAATGAAACAAGGCGATTCTCTGTTTCCATATTGTATTTTACGCTAAATATAGAAATTATAGTAGGCCTGAAGCTATTGTGTTACTAATTCCATAAAAATGATATTCTTTAAAATGAAAGAAGTGAAGTTGATTAACAAATGATTATAAACGGCGTCTCCGACGGGACAGGGGGCCGATGTGCCTGACCAAAAAAATTGGGCGTGGTCGGGCGGCGCTCAAGATCCCCCGAAAGTGTTCCAGGGGGGCGAGGACCCGAAACAATTGGACATTTAGGGGTTTCAAAGGCTTATTAAGTCGATTTTAGAGTCCACTAATATGTAGCAAATATATATAATATTGTTTTCTCCACGACGAATTGTGGTTTTTTCCCCGACGGGGGGGGGGGGGGGGGGGGGGGGGGGGCGCGGGGGGCGGCGGGGGGGGGTGGGGGGGGGGTGATAATTATAATAAGTTATGAGAACAAAACAATTAGAATATTATTACGATAATACTCAATTTTGCAAATTAATTTTCAGAAGGATCATCCAAAATAGTGACTGCTGGCGGCGTGTTTGTCGGTATTGCAATTGCTACGTTTATTGCTTGCATCGTTATTATTATCGTCCGATATAAACGAATCAAGATATTTCACGTAAGGTAAGTTTATCACCCACCAGAGAAGCTCCACCTAGACTTTCCCATGTAACAAGACAATTGTGTAAAAATAATCTATGCCCCAGATTTGTTATACCTTACGATATAGAAGTGTTGACATATTGGCCCGTAACGTTTCTCGGAAATATAAGTACAAACAGTTCAACTATATAATGGGCTGGTAATAATACGGTGCAATCACGTTCAGGTTTTTATGCCAGACACACCTAACCATTATGTCTTTAAATTTCCCCAGAAAATTCGAAGTAGATGCGGTTATTCGAAACTCTCGACTCTACAGCTCTCCAGGGGAAACTTGTTCTCTATCGCCTGACTACAAAACTCACAACAGAAACTCGCATTACGAAAGATCGATCCAAAGCTGCACCTTACCTCCTCTGCCAAGTCCGTTGCTACATAATTCGTCGAGTTTCAACACCGCTCAGGGGCGTACGCCAAATTTTGCAACATCGCCCCCTAATCAACCAGAGGCCAGATTATACGAGGATCCAGAGAGCATAATATCCGAAGGTTATAAAAGAAAATCTGAGCATGGCGAGGAAATAGATGTAAACTCAATACCAGAGGGCGATCAGGTGATCACAGGTAATAAGTCGATTGATACCAAAGAAAAACCACAGTATTTTCAACTAGAAAAAGCCGACTAGAATTGATATCCCCGCGAGCCAAAAAATAATGATGACTGATGCCGCAATAGCTCTGCAACTCGCAATTATATTAAAAGAAACTTTTTCAAGTATCTTATATTCGATTCAACTTATCGTTCTTAATGTACATTACTGTATCGTACCTTACAATAAACAAGCGAGAAAAATGTTTTGACCTGTATCTTGTTAAATTGAAATGAGCAATTCAGTGTTCAAATTTATTTTTTAAGTGGAGTTTCTCACATTTATCGCCTACATAGTCTTTAAAGTATGCCTAATATCTAAGGTCTGTGATTCTCAAATTTTCTATAATATTATATGAGGCTCAAAACTTAATATAAGCAAAGAGTATTTTCTATACAAAAGCTTGCACCACAGTACTACAACTTCCGAGAACTGTGTAAAAGGAACTATCTTCCAAAATAAGCCCACGAAATATGATGTCGTAATGCCTACCGTATATAAGACCTGCCCTAGAAAAAAGTCAACAATCTGTTACTTGTACAATTGTTCGAGTGAATTGCCAACGCAGAGCATCGGTTATGAGTTACAGCCCCATTCCCGGCAAAAACTTTATAGATGATGTCGTAATGCCTATATAAGACCTGTCCTAGAAAAAAGTCAACAATCTGTTACTTGTACAATTGTTCGAGTGAATTGCCAACGCAGAGCATCGGTTATGAGTTACAGCCCCATTCCCGGCAAAATTTCAGTTGGTTAAGAAAAATCTGATTTTTATATATGTTATAAAGATTTGTAAATATAATAAGAAATTGCTAGTTTAACTAAATTTAGACATTCCTAAACATGAAACAAAATGTAAAATAATTAGACTGAAATTTGATTTTTTTTTTGTGTTCCACACAAACTATAAACGCGGATGAATTTGTTATGTTTGATTTTGCGATAGGTCTGCGAAGAAATATAGTATGCGCCGGAAACATTATCCCTAGCAACACTGCTAGGCTCGTCCTAGCCTTACCTCGATTTAGGTTATCAGACATAAGCACGGCCGACATTATATTTTCCGCTGCTAGTATTGACACTTTTCAAATTATATCAAATTTGTTAAAAAAATGATTCTGACCGAGATTTTGACAATTAAACAAACATATCTTAGGCCTACTCGATCGACCCCAGTGTGCGAGATACGAAGTACAAAAACTAATCTCATTAGAGTGGGCGCACTTTATTTATCGCTCACGATCGTATCTACGAATTTTCTTTCATAGAAAAACAGATTAATATATATTTTTTAAAATTTTAATTAACAATTAATTGTGGGATGAATTAAAAAAATCTTATCATGAGAGTTTATGGCATTAATAATAAATAAATAAGAAGATAAGAAAGTTAGTTTTCTTTATCTGTATGTTGAGTTGATTTTGAAATAAATTATTAAAATGAAATGAAATATGCATTTAAAAAAAAAATCTTTATAGTGAAATTTTTCCGGGAATGGGGCTTTACAAAATATGACAAGCAGTAGACACACGCTCCCGCTGGGGCCTATTTTTCTAATAGTTTTTCTAATTTCCTTCGAGCAAATTCAATAATTTTCATAGTACAATGTTTTGAAAACCATTGAAAACTGACTTTTTCCAGTAACTGGTTGAAAGAGCTCAGGTTATATAAGTTATATACCGTAATAATAATAATAATAATAATAATAATAATAATAATAATAATAATAATAATAATAATAATAATATTGATGTTTAAAATCAGTTCAAGTACCAATCAAGATTAAGTAAGGCCGGACACACAATGTGTCGACACCCGTCGGCTGACGAGCCGATATCTTGGCTCTAATTTAATACTTGTCGACGCAACGTTGTCAGCTGATTGTCAGTGACATTTGATCGCGTATCGTCTGGTGTTCATGAAATCGCGCTGGTCGATCGTAACGTGAAGTGTGTGCGCGCTAGATTTACTACAACAATAATTTAAAAATATAGGCATATATAGGCCTACCTGTTCAGAAGCATGAACGTATGAATAGGCATATGCCTAATCTTTCTTCAAAGAGCACGTATTATCTCACAATACAATCTTTTAATAAGGTAAGACTATCACACAAACTTTTGTCTATATACCAGATTCTTGGTCTAAATGGGCAAATTCAATGAACGATGGTGCAGACTATGTACCGGTATGTGCTGTATACATCAAATGTTGGATTTGGATTGGTATAACGTAGGCCTACATAGGGGCCTAAAGCTATTAATATAATGCGTTCCGACTAAGAATACGTTCACACTAGAAACTTATGTCAGCGTAACTCAATAAAGGTGTAGGCCAACGACCAATCCACGTCGTAACAACCTAGGCTGTCCACACACAGTAGTGCGATTGCTGTAGGACTAACGTGAGAAGAACAGCAACATAAAAGAAAAAAGTCATCGATGCACGTTCTGTAACTCACTGGCATAATCTCTAACTTTTGCGTCCGTTAAAGAAGTCTCATAGGTGGGTAGGTAGGTAGCTAATGGTATTTTCCAGAGGATACAGAACGCAGTGGACTAACTGTAACTCGTTTCAATAACTTTCTTCTCCCCTGAGGTTCTCTTCATGTCTGAGCTACACGGTAAAACAGTACCAGCTACTCTACGTCTGTCCACAACAGGGATGTATGGACCAGTACACTGGGGTTCGTCTAGAACGATGTATTGGGTTTTTGTAAGTGCACACAAACCAAATTGTGTACACTGGGCCTACGGTTTATAGTCCTTATCCGACTTGTTCTATCACCAGAACCATAGGCGAGCGGGCCGTTCAAACTATCGCTGATGGCCGTTAGCTGCGGCGCCCCTGCACTAACCGCTCGGCTAGTGAAGGTTTGTTTTCAAACATCCTTATAAAGAAATGACCAATTAGATTGAGCTTGAATTTTCACAAGCGGAATATCGACCTCATACCTGTAACTGTAAACTATCAACAGGTGTCACTCCACAGTTACTCAGTTGGACTACTTTCTAGGTTGAAAAATAATAAAACTTCCTAAAATTATAATTTTGTCACGCCATTCGTTCTCTATCATAAAATCCATACGATCTTACAGGTGATAGCGAAATGATTAATTATGGAATAGTCATAGAAATTATAATTTGCCGGTTATAAATCCCTATTCAATCGATGGTACACCTAGGAGGCATGGTTCAAACACATTTTCTAAGGATGACGGTTAACAACATCCGCGTCTATATGAACTTTAACAGGTCCCACCAATCCCAAACTTAACCGTATAATAGTTAAATACATATTTTGAAAATCTTCCAAATTTTTACAAATGCCCGCTTGGCTATCGACCTCGAATTACTGTTAGGGCCACATCGCCAGTCTAAGCATGCCTAGTGTAAAAAATCAATAATAATACAGAGCCATCAACAGGAGGATAAAACGAGGGCAGTAGAAATAAGTGAACCTTAAGTCCAGGGTCCTGGAGTTAATGAACCAACAAGCGCCAGTTCAAGGCGTTGTAGTAATGAGATTGGTTATGGAATTGGTCACATGATTCATAAATCTGTAAGTGTAATCAGTGTGGAGGTGTATTATAAGAAGTACCATTAAATTTAATCTCACGTACTGTGACAAGAATGGCAAAATGCCTCATGTTTTGTATTTGTATTTTGTATTTTATTCAAACATTTAACAATGTAAACACTAATTACAGGATAAACATAAATATATAAGAATATTATAACATAAAAAGAACATTACACAATAATCATTAAAAAGTCTAAAAATTAACTTCCACAAATAAATAAATATTTATAATAACATTATTAACCAATTAAAGTAACTACCTCATGTACAATACGTTTAAAAATTGAAAAATTAAAATTACTGTAATTAAAAACTGCCAATTCCGGATTTTTTACAAACACATTGGTTATAAAGAGATGAAATCCTACAAAAAGATTCCGTTCTTACAAACAATCACACGAGAGATATTTAAATTTAAAATTTGTTTAGAACGGAGACTACGAACAGAGAAATTAAAATAGAAATTAGAAACATGATTACATGTGAACATAGAGTTTAAACACCTTATAAACAAGTTAAATCATTAATTTATCTTTTCCATTCTGGAGAAATAATAGAGGATTGGTAAGAACAAGAAGAAAAATAAAAAGAATTCTAGACCCACATTTTCAGGCCCCGTGAGCTGATTTTTTTTTGTTACAATAAGAAAATTCAATTCAATTTTTAATTAATTTTTATATATATATATGCCTTTTTTAATTCTTCCATTTTTATCATTTTAATTTGGTTTTATGTCTGGTGCTGTGTTTTTTTTTCTTTTTTAGGTTTGTGTTTTGAATTTCTTGAATTTCAGTGTTCTGTTTTTAAATTTTTAAGCAATTATTGTAATACACTCATATACAGTCTTTTGGCTGTCTAATTGTAATTTTCAATTTATATTTTTATCTGAATAAAGAATAAAGACCTTGAATACAAAATTAGATGTAGGAATCAAAATTTTCCCGGGGGAGGACCTTATTTATTTATTTTTTTTTCATTAAGAGTGTACAATGTAAGCTAAGGTTGTACCGTACAGTACCCGTAATATGTAGATATTTTCAACTACTTTAAGTGTAAAATAGAATTTTTTGGAAAACTTCAAAATGTATGCATAAAAGCGTTACCGTACGTCAATAAGAATGCTTAAAATGGCAAAACTAAAAAATATTTAAGTGTTCCATACCAATTTTATTGCAAACCAAGTTTTTAAATTTAAAAAACATGGCCCAAAAAGCATGAACTATTTCGCTGGATGGATTACATTGGATTTATTCGGTGAAACACCCACGAAAGTATAGAAGAAGAGAGAGCAGCTTAGCTCAGTCGGCTAATCTGGTGGTAGGGCCACTGTGTGTGCGCTGAACCGTGGAGATCTCTAGGTCCCCGGTTCAATTCCCATCGCTGCCTCTCATTGTGTTTCAGCTAGAGAAATACAAGTTACATAGCGCACCGTCTTTCGGATGAGACGTTTAAGCCGTTGGTCCCGTGTGCATTTATGGCCCATGTGCACGTTAAAGAACACAGTACACTCTTCGGAAAAGAGTAGGGGATTGTTTCCCGGTGTACTGTCCAATCACCACCAGAAGGACCCCACTGGAAATAAGCCTTCTTCTAGACTTTCGTGGGCTATCCTTCGTGTTTACA